ATATATAGAGAGAGAGAGAGAGAGAGAGAGAGAGAGAGAGAGAGAGTGTGTGTGTAACTTTTCTATTTCAAGTTATACAAACATGCATAAAAACAATTAAATTTTTCAGTATAAATCACATAGATGAGAAATTTGTTCAAACATATACATTCTTCCTCTTCTTCACTACTACTTTCATATAGTCGTCTTGATTTAATTCTCTTCCTAATTTGTGAATTTGGTTCTGGTTCTGTATTGAGATCACTTATAACTTCTGCCAAAGAAAGTTTTTGTCTGGCTTTATCTAAATAGTCTGTAATTATTAAAGAACAAGTTAAATTTTAGGTTAGAGAAGGATACATTTTTAGGTTAAAGTGTCACATTTTTAATTACAATTATTTTATTGAAACGAATATGATTTAATCTTTTTCTTTACAATTTTTTATTATTCATTAGTGATGTAAAATTAAAAAATGTAGAAAGATATGACAAATATGGAAAGATAGGAAGGATATTACAATATAGTATAAATGTAATGCCACGTTTTTACCGTTTTCATAAAAATTATGAGCTATTCCGTAAAGCTGCCATCTGTCTTCGTTTATTTCTTCTCCCTTTTTTAAGACACGTATAAAAGTTGCATTATCTTTATAAGATGGCCAAAATACTTTGTTTTTACGTAGCGTTATCCATGTAGTGTGCACAATTGCCAGGCCACCTCCTCCTTCTTTAGTAAACCGTATTAGTTTTAGAGATGGGTTGTTATTTTTTAACCTGTTATTTTAAACTGTTATTTTAAAATAACAATGGCTGTTTTCCAGCTAGGACCATGGTGGAAGGATTACATGGTGTGCTCAGATTGCAAGCGTGTCTCTCTCTAAAATTTGCGCTCTCTGTCATTTCTCTGCTTCTTGTTCCGCAGGACTGCCAACTGAGAAAAAATTACGTATTTCGCTTTGTGTACGTTCCACTTAACGTTCGCAACGCTCGCGAGGTTCATTTTGTCCTTCTTGTAATCGAATATTAAATAAGGATGAGATGATACACGCGATCGTTTCGAACGTTAAGTGGAACGCACCCTTTGTAGACTCTAATAAGCGATTTCTACTGGGAAAACTAGTGCAACACTGATGCACACTAAGTGCAATTAAATGCAAATGACCTATTATTTTTTTAAATTCTGCCTACAAACTTCTAGCATTTACTTAAAGTAAACTCAGTATCTCATAATAGGAGCCTTTCCTTTAATAATGAAAATAAAGATACTGAAAATATTGAAAAATGTGGAATCGAAGTGGAAAATTTTGAAAAAGAAACTGATAAATTGCTAATTGATGCAGTGAGCACAGATTTCTATTTATATATAGAAATCTGTGGCAGTGAGAAGTTATTCGCACTTATATAACCTGTCTCTAAAGCCTTGTGTCCACGATGCTAGAAATCGGTCCAAGATCTCGGATGAAGAAAGAATTAACAAATCGCATTTGAACAATTTGGTCACATGACTAATGTAATTGGTCAATTTTTCCTTCATCCGAGATCTCGGACCGATTTCTAATATCGTGGACACAAGGCTTAAAAGACACACAAATGAAACATAACTCATGGAGAGAAATTTCTGGAATATTAGGTCTGTTCCTTATTGCTGAACTTTTGCACTAGGAAAAAAAGATGAACTGGTGCAAAAGTTCAGCAATAAAGAACAGACCTATTAAATCTGTTAAGTAAGATTTGAGAGAGAGAGAAAGAGAGAGAGAGAGAGAGAGATTCTTAATTTTGAAATTTTTTATATAAACATGGTAATGCAAATGTGTTTATCACAAAGTACTGTTCTCAATCAGAGCCAACACTGAAGTTCGTGTGTAAATACAATTCTTTACTAGATAATTAATTAATTGGACATTTCGACTCCTTTTGGAGCTATTTTCAACAGATACAAAAACGAAATCAAGATCAAAACGATCATACAGAGTTAGTGAATACGTTGTGAAATACATTAAAAAAAAGCATGTCATGTTAAGATTAGTGTTCCTATATGAACACTAGTTAAGATATATAAGGTGTACGTTCCACTTAACGTTCGCAACGCTCGCGAGGATCATTTTGTCCTTCTTGTAATCGAATATTAAATAAGGATGAGATGATACACGCGATCGTTGCGAACGTTAAGTGGAACGCACCCAAGATGTGAGTTAACACTGATACATTTTTTGAAAAATAGACTAGTATTAGGATTTGTCAATTATTAGTTAAATTCCACATATCTTGAAAAAATCGAATAAACAATTAAAAAATCGAATCCGTAGTCTCATTTTGATGTAAAATGTTCAACGATCTAACGAACTTCTTGAACATATCGAAATGATAATTGGCGAGATTTTATTACTACAGCCCATTTTTCAAGAAAATCGATATATAATTAATAATTAATATTATTCACATCTCTCATGTATCGATGTTTCAATGTGTCTTGCTTTTTTATAATAATTTGATATTTAATATTTATGATATGACTGCGATATCTACTAAAATTTTGCTACAATAATGTAGGTCGTAATTTTCGTTCTTATATTTACTGAAGATAATCCAAAAACGAAGGATTAAAACATCTAATTAATTTGTATGTCAGACACTATGAAAGATTCACTACCACGAGAATCAGTATCAAGTAATTCAGTATCAAGAGATTCAATATCAAGAGATTTAGTACCAAGAAATTCAGTATCAAGAGATTCAGTACCAAGAGATTCTGTACCAAGAGATTTAGTACCAAGAGATTCAGTACCAAGAGATTCCATACCAAAACATTCCGTACCAAAGAGATTCAGTAGCAAGAGATTCAGTACCACAGATTCAGTACCAAGAGATTCAATATCTTGACCAATTGATTCATCTCATTATACTGTTTACAAAAGCATTAAGCTATGATTATCAAAAAGTCAATAGTTCACGAGTTAATAAACATTTTATGTCAATATGTACCAAAAGAATGTGTAAAATATCTAGTAAACTATTGGTTTTTTTATATCTCTACCTTAATACTTTTATGTACAGAATATAATTAGAGGAATTATATAATGGAAAAAAATTATAATTCATATAATTCCATTTAAAAAAATGAAGTTGATCTCGAAATCTCCGAAGCGCTTCCACCTAAAAAATTATAACCATCATATATTATAGTCCTCTTAATACCGTACAACTTTTGTAATTACAATATTTTCATATCTCTAAAAATAGCGGAGATATTCAAGGTGGACAAATAAGTTATTGCCCCACCCTGTATACTGGATAATTGTCACAAAAGATTTAAGTTAATCAAATAAGTGGAAATACATTTCTTGTTTTATTATTAAGAAACGAATGTTATAACCAAAGATCTACTACATTATAATGATTTATTTTATTACAATGGGTGCTTTCCAATTGATGACACAAATCGACACAAGTATTGTTCTATCTCTGTCAATCTCTAAATGTCAAGAAAGATAGAATGATACTTGTGTCGACTTGTGTCATCAATTGGAAAGCACCCAATATATGTACATTCAAAGCATATATTTAAAGTAAATATGTGAATATGTGAGTATATTTAAAGTAATTATGTGAATATATTATTTTAATTTTTTAATAAATATACATATTATGTAATTCGTTTTTCTTTTTATTACGATCTTAATATAATATATAAATTAATATACTATAAAACAAAATTTAACGTTAATGGAACATAAAGCAAAGGCTTATAAAATCTCATAGATTTTCCAGTTGCCTATATAATGACGAAATATAATGTTATATGCAAAACATTCTTAAAAAACTTCTTATTAGTTATCAGCGTGAGAACATCAAAAATATTGCGCATCTAGAACTATTACTTATTAATAATGAACTCAAAAATAAACGGACTAAACTGAATAAGAATTCATAAAGCAGAGACTTAAAAAATCTCATCAATTTTTGTTACCTACGCCTATGCTAAACGTCACGACATGCGCGGCTAGGCAACGATCTGTATGTCGACAGTCAGAAGGTCGACACCAGCAGTTGTGTTTAGACATTCAAAATAGACACACTCTTTTGTATCACACGGTTCTCCGCACATTCTGATTTAGCACATAATTCTCAATTACACTACGAATTAAAGATTAGTGACAAACACAACAATTTTCTAATTGCCTAATCCTAATATACATATAATAATACAAAATATAATGTTATGTACGAAACATTTTTAGAAAACTTCTTATTAGTTATCAACGTGAGGATATTAAAAATATTACATGTCTAGTATATAGGAACTAGAATAGAGCTTACATTACAAATGATAAATCAGAGGCTTAAAAATCTCATATATCTTCCGGTTGCCTTTGAGTATTCAATCTTTTTTGTTCCGCATCATACCTTATTTCTTTCGGTCTTTTCAGCCATTTTTATATTGCTTCTTCGATATCCTTTCTTGTAAAAGTAGCATTGACTTTCTCGTTTGCAGCTATAACAAAAACAAGTATATACAATATTTATCTACATCCACAGTAATTTAAATCAGTAGCTTTTAAAAAACAAGTATATAAAGATTATTAAAAACGTACCGATTAATAACTGTGATAGCTTTGATGTACGGAATGTACGTTATTTATTCTTCCTTCCCAGCCAACTGTATTTAGCAGCTCGTTTATTGGTGGGAATTTGGCTCAAGTTGCGTTTTACAAATTTGTAAGCACTTTTTCGTCCAACTTTTAAAGTTTCTAAAATTTGAAAAATTTTCATCACTATAAAGCATCAATATGGAATTATCGACTTATGACACAAATTGATAAATATATATGATAATCATATACAGTACTGATATATCAAAATTTTCATCAATTTTTAAGAAGTCCTCGACTTTAACTTCTTTAACTGCTTTTCATTTGGTATGGGAATATTATAGGAATAAAAAAGGGATTGCTGTTTGGTATTGCTTACTACATTATTGCTATTTGTATTAAGCTGCAGATTCTCTAATGCATTTTTAATGTCTCTTGGATTATCACTTTGTTGCCAAATCCGTGCTTTAAAGAGATGCTGTTGCCGTATAATTTCTTTAAAATATATCACAGAATCTGAAATATAAATTAAGGTATTTTATATTTTGAAAAATTAAATTTTGTTCAGTCATAAGGATGCGAATACATTCACGTTACAGAAATGCAATTCGTTATCAACTATAGCATTTATCGAAATAAATAATGAGGACAGCAAACGAGATCCAATACTTAATAGTTATTAACTTTGTTATTGCACCTATCAATCAGGAGCAAGAACTTTAGATACATGGTCTTACGTAGCAGCTGTGCCACGGAGTAATAAGAAGGAGATCAAGCTGAAGCGGTCGGCCTGGTCGGCCATGAAAAAGAAGGGCTCGAAACACGGTGTTATGTCGGAAAAGCGTTGTACAGAAGAACTGATCCGAGCGCGCCTGTCGGAAAACACATCGAAACACATCGAAATGTAGGTTAGCAAAATGTAGGTTAGAGAGAGAGAGAAATATATGTCACATGACAGTCAATACTTCCAACTTTTCCCACAATGGCGCTAAAATCACATCTTCTCAATTTTCCATGGGGGTTTTCCGAAACCGTGTTTCGAGCCCATATTTATCCTCCTTATTACTCACAAAAATTATATATTTTTTTTTAAGTGATGAAAACTGATCCCCTTCTGTTTATAATTATGGCATTGTGCCACAAAACATTATGTAGTATTTCTTTTTGATTTTACTTTTTATTTTCCATTATAGCACGTATAAGGTGTCTGACTAGCGAAGCTTCTATTGACCGCCACTAGGAGATCTTTGCATCGCCAATACAGTAGGGACAAACAGTGTCGGCACCTTTGATCTTTTTCAACTAGATTTTCAGGCTCCGCTATGTTGTTGGTTGCCAAGTACCGTATCAATAGTATTAGAAACCACTGTCTATAAAAATTTTTTTATTTTAGCAAATTATAATAAAATGTTTAGATAGGTCCATGGGTCTACTTTAGATAGGTCCATAGGTCTACTCTTAGGTCCATGATGTGACACGATAAACACTTAACTGAGTTTGGTTATGTTTTTCCATTATTATAACGTAGATACGATGAATTCTCTATTTTGATCGGGATTGGTACTACCAAAAACATGGCCGTTTTGCGCAAGCAAATCTGCGCGGCCCATCCACCGTACGGATGGGGCAGCAGCTCGTAGCCCAATTCGACCGACAAAATAATCTCGATACATACACACATACTAATAAGCATAATTACAGACGTGCTTGCGGTACCGAGTACCGATTCTTCACACGTTCAGATATTGAATAATTATTTTCTCGATAACAAAGTAAAACACATCGATGGCAATTTTTTGTAGTATACTAGAAGGTTAGATGTTTAAAAAAAATTTTTTTTTTATTTATCGATCATTGCCCAAGTGGATAAAAAAATTATTTAAAAATAAATTGTTCAATAAATAGTACTAAATTATTTTTTTTATGCTATAAATAATTTAATGATAAAATATAGTTCTTTTGTGACAACTTTTATTAAAAAAATTTTTTTATTCAACTTGACGAAAAAAAGTTATAAAATTATGAATTAAAAAGTCAAAAAATTTTGCATTGTTCATAACTCGAAAAATATTGCATTTGAGAAAACAATGTTTGACAGCATATTTTATATCATCAGGAACTACCGATATGCAAAATGTTAATAATTTCTGAGAGATGACTGATCCGGTTCACGCGGAATGGCCCATATCTTTATACTGTGGCTCAAGGTACCGCTTAAGATCGTCTTGAGATCATAACAATTTATAATCGCGAAATAAGGTGACCTTTGAGAAGAAGAACTTCCTTAAGGAATTCTTATTTAATTGAAGATCGCCTTGACGAAGACGTTCTTAAGGTTGTACTTATTTGCTATTCGCGGCTATTTCCGTAATATTTCCGTTGGATCCTCCAATAGAAATATTGCATTCGAGGAGTATGATTTTATAAATTGCTGTATTGTTATTATCTTTTATTATTATAATTTATATTATTAATGTGTTTCGATTTGAATTGTTGAAATGTGTTAAACTGTTGGAGGACGACTGAAGCCCGTTTTTTGGAAAAATTTATAACTTTTCAAACTAAGTGTCATAGAGAAGAGGCATGAAAAGTAAGTTTTGAATAAAATTATATGAAAATTAGTTGATCATATGACATATTTATATTGTATATTACCAAACTATCGTTATTTAATTGTGATAGGTTATTACTTTTATTTAA